CCTGGCTCCCGCCGCGATGGGGCCGCTCCGCTGGCTGCTCGCGCTGCTGGCATTGCTGCGGCCGCAGGGGGTCCGGCCTGCGGGCCCCATCCGGGCCTTCGTGGTGCCCCACAGCCACATGGACGTGGGCTGGGTCTACACGGTCCAGGTAGGTGGCTGCCCCCGCCCCCAGCCCCCGAGTCCCAGCCCCGCGCCCCCGGCGCCCCGCAACTGCAGCTTCCTCCTCCCTGCGGGATCCGCGTGCGGATTTGCACCCAGCCACGTGGGGCTGAAGCCAGCTAGGAGGAGGGTCAGCCTGGGTTCCAGCCCCAGCTCCATCGCAGCTGGTTGAGAGATCGACCTTGAGCTGGTCCCTTCCTGCTCTGAGCCTCAGCTTCCCCATCCTGAAGGGAAAGTTGGAAGCGGTAGAGGTCAGATGAAGAGCGTGTGGCCTGAAGGTTGGGCCACTGTCACCGTCCTGGTCTGGGGGACCCTGCAGGTTCTGCTCCCTTCCAGGGCCTGAGTTTCCCCTTCTGCAGGGTGCTACTTTGATTGGATGGTCCCCATGTTCCAGGCTGGGAAGGGAGTGGGAACCCAGTGGTGGGGGCCCCCATTCCCAGGGAAGCCTGGAGGAACAGGAGGGGTGGGGCTGGCTTCAGGCCAGGTGGGTGTCAGCCGCTGGGCAGGGTCCCCTGTGGGTGGGAGGTTGGAGGCCAGTTCAGCTGGCGTCCCTGGGGACAGACTTTGGGGTTGGCCCTGTGGTCACCTCAGGGTTCTGCTCAGCACCCTGGCGAGGCCTTGCTTCCTGAGCCTCTCTTGTTTCCCCACCTGCAGAGTGAGAACAGTACTTCCTACTTTCATCCAGGGACCCTGGGAGCCACAGGAGGGGGCGGGTGTTGGATTCTCCGCACAACTCTCTGCACCTGGGGCTGCCGGAGCAGCAGGCCAGGCACAAGGCAACCCTGGAGTTTCCGGGGCGGCTGGGAACTGGCCTCGGAATTCTGGACAGCCCCGCCCCTCCTCTGCACTTTCAGTGAGAGGGGAGGGAGGACCAGCACCTTCACCTTTGTCATCACATCACTGTGCGGTGGGTGGGTGTTAGCTGTGTGCCTGCCAGCCAGGACGTCTAGTAGCTCCTCTCTTCCCTACAACTCTGAAGGCAGTAGTGTTACTCCCCCCACCCTCCCCCTGCTTCTCTTGCCCCAGCCACTCTGACCTCCTTCTCTTCCTCCAGCACCCTGGCTGCTTCTGCCTCAGGGCCTTTGCACTGGCTGTTCCTGCAGCGCTTTCCCCCCAGAGGTCCGTGGGCCTCAGCCCCTCTCTCCCTTCAGGATGTGACTCAGTCACGTTTTCGGTGAGGCCTTCCTGGCCCGCCTCCCTAAGCCCCATGCCCCTCTCTCTTGTATGTCCTTTGTCACTTGTCACCAAGGACAGACATTCTCCCTATCAGCTTGCTGACCCTGTTTCCCCACTGGAGCTTAAGGCTCCCCACCCCCAGACTCTGGAGGGCATAGACCCTCCCCGGCCTGACTCCCAGCCCATGAACACTTGTGAATGAATGATTGAGCAGACGCCAAAGAACACTTGTGAATGAATGATTGAGCAGACACCAAAGAACACTTGTGAATGAATGATTCAGCAGACACCAAAGAACACTTGTGAATGAATGATTGACATGAGTGCAGAAAGACAAGAGGGAAAGCTGTGCTTCCTTACGTCTCGGGGGCAGGTAAAGGGTCCTGTTACCCAGGCCTCCTAGAGCTGGTTTTGGGATCAGGAAGGAGAGACATAGTGAGTGGAAACCCCTATGATTACAGATACAGTAAGTTTGCAGGATGTTAGTAAGAGAGGGAGGAGGCTTTGATGCTGAGTGTCAGCTCCGGTCCTGGGGTGCACTGGGCAGCCTTAGGGGTGTGGGCAGCCCACCCAGATGGAGACGCTGGGAAGCTTGCGGCCATGCTCAATTTACAGAAGAGGAAGTTGAGGCCCCAAGAGGGCGGCTCCTTGCCCAGGGTCACTCAGGAATAACCCACGGTGTATCTGTTCATTTAATGGGCTCTCTGGCCGCCTCTGCTGCAGGCCCTGAAATTCTGAGCGGAAGTGACTGTGGCCGTGGCCCGGCCATAGGAGCTCCTG